AAAAAAAAAAAAAAAGGGGGTCCATTATTTCCTCTCCCCCCCCCCCTAAAATGGACCCCCCCCATTTTGTAAGTTTTTTCTTTTTTTTCAATAGGGGGGGGGTGGGGCCCTGGTCGCGCGGTGGGAATCCTGACCCCGATTGTCAGTACGCCCCTCCCCTTGGCCGTAGCGAGCCGATTGTGGCCGCGGCCCCGCAGTGGTCATGACCGCGGCCCCGCGGCCTCGACCGAGGGCCACGGTTATGCCCGTGGTGACCGCGGCCGCTGGGGATACATAGCTGAAAACCGCTCGAAAACACTTCTTTATGGGGTTGTATGGCGAAAAAATGCCCCATAACAACCCCCGGGCCCTTGCTGCTGTTGGCCTCACTGTCAACTGACTCCAGCCTGGCACTGGGCATGGGCTATTTTTTCTTATCAAGTTTGCTCATTCTGCCACCCCGGCCAGACATGTTTTCATTTGTATTAATTTTTTTATGAACTTCGTTTGGGCGGAGAGCTGTTGTGGTAAGCCCTCTACCTACAGTCTACGTGTGAGGCAGGTAGAGGGTCTGCCTCGTCGACACTATTTACTGCTGGCATCACAGACACTAACATGCCTTGCACAGGCTGGCATGGCAGACCCTCTACATGCTACTGACGTGAGGGGCAGGCAGAGGGCTTGCCACGTCAGCGTTATAAGCCGCCTGATACATGACATGGCAGGCCCTGTACACAAACACACACACACACACCACAGTCTGCTAGGATGGCAGGGTTCGTGTAAGTAAAGCCGACCACTTTTCTTAGGGGTATTCCTAACTCTGCGTGGGCCAGAATGCCAGACCCTGGCTGCCCTTCCTCCTATATGTAAGTGGCAGCCTCTGTTTGACTGTGTGTGGCCTGGCTGGGAAGCTTCCAGTAGCTTCCAGTTGGGCCCTAGTGCCTGCGCCCAGGCCCAGCTCTGCAGTTGAGGGCCTGGGCCCTTTTCGGTTGGGCACGCCCAGGATTTCCAGAGTTGGGTTGTTTGATGCCTTTGCAATTGAACCGCGGTATGTACGTCGACAATGCTGCTTTTCTGTAGGCCCATAGCCACTTCGTGATGTATCTGCCTAAGTGAACATCAAGCCTCGTGCCCGCCCTAAGTGAAGGCGGGCCTGAATATTCACCAGAGGCCAAAATTTGACATTTTCCACATGTCCCAACCCTTCTCCATGTGCAACTGCCTAAGTACCCGCGTATGGAAAATGTCAAATTTTGGCCTTTGATAAATATTCAGGCCCGCCTTCACTTAGGGCGGGCACGAGGCTTGCTGAGGGCCTCTGCCCAGAACATGTGCATGTCTGATAAGGGCCCCGCGAGGGCTCATTCCTTGCATAACGTGCAAGTGGGTCGTTAAGGCAAACGGTGATGTGGGCAGCAGTGGCAGCTGCCACTCAACTGCAATCAACACAAGCAACCTTGTACGTGCAAGGCATAGTAAAAGAGGAGGTGTTGCCCCAAAGAAACCCCAATTAAACTGAGTGAGGATGGTGCCCGGGCCGGGCTCCGCTTGGCCGGTTGGGAACGAGGGCCCCGCCCGAGCAGGCCAAACAACTACCCATAATTTTTTTTATTTTTTTTTTGAAACTGGGCTCGTTCTGTGCTCGGCGAGAGGACCCCGAATCTGCAATAAAATTTTGGTTTGGGGGGGGGGGTGGGGGGGGTGGGGGGTGGGGTGATCTGGGTGGGGGGTGTTGGGGTTGGGGGGTGTCTGGGGGTTGGAGGCTCTACATGTATGTTGCCTGCTGTATGCTGAATGTATGTCATCTGCTGCATGCATGTTATCGACCCTTTCATGCTGAAGAGGAACAAGACTGATAAAAAATGAAAAAGACTGATGAGAAGAAGAAGAAGAAGACTGACGAGAAGAAGAAGAAGAAAACTGATAAGATGGAGAAGAAGAAGAAGAAGAAGAAGAAGAAGACTTACAGACTGACAACTTGCAGGAAATTTGAGTTCTTCAGTAGTATATCAACTGCATATGGCCAATATCGATCCACATTCGGACATTTCTCTCTCTCTCTCTCTCTCTCTCTCTCTCTCTCTCTCTCTCTCTCTCTCTCTCTCTCTCTCTCTCTCTCTCTCTCTCTCTCTCTCTCT